GTACCCTAAGCTGCAAGCTGATTGGCTACGTTATTTCTTGGAAGTAGAACTTGGGTGATGAATCAAGTTCTAGCGTCGTGCACGAGTCGTGGACACAAGTCTTTAAAGCCTCCGCTACAATGATTCTCGGTTCTGTCTACAATGGTCGTAGTCGTAAGAATAATCGACTGCGATTGGTCAATTCTTATGCGTCTGACTGAATTGACCAATCACAGTTCATTATTCTTCAACCGTAAGGAGAATAATGAACTGTGATTGGTCAATTTCTTCCGACACGACTTACGACATCCAATGTAGACCCAGCCTTACGACTACGACTTTACGACTTCTATGTAGACGAGGCTTTATGCACTTATGCAAAAGTGTGTGCTCCCCGCTTTAAGGCCTTCACACATAAAATTCCGTAAGGACGTAAAACGTAAGCATAAGTCCCAGTCTACAATAGATGATTTAAGCCCTAAGCTTTAAGAAATTGGCCAATCACGGTCAAGTATGAGTAGAATGCGCGACTGTGATTAGTCAATTTCTTAAGGCTTAGGGCTTAAATCTCTATTGTAGACTGGGACTAAGAAAATCGACCGATCACAGTCGAGAACGTAAGGCAATGACGCAAGCAGTAGCAAATCCAACCTGTTGATTTTCTTACGCTTACGTTTTACGTCCATACGGAATTTTATGTGTGAAGGCCTTTAGCCCGACACTTTTTTTAGTAGAAATGGACGTAAACGGAAAGATCGCCGCGTTCTCTCTTCTGACCAATCGACGCGCCCGATATTACGCGCGGCGCCACCTCGCGACGGCTCAGGAGGCGGTCGTCCCATCTAGCGCCTCACCTACTCTCAGGTAGCCATCCCGCGAGAGAATACGGAGAAGGTGGGATGTCGAAGGTGGTCGCGGAACCTCGTGCCATCGAACCTTCTAAGTGAGTCTCCGAGGCGAGGCGACGCGCGCCAGGTCGCGGACGAGAGGCATCGTTTTACGTTCCGAAGCATGGCAGAGTATCTCGACTCCGAGGCGGACGTGAGCGAGGTGAGTCCCTTCGTCCGTTCTCGCAGCACGCGCGCGCGAGGGGGAGGGAGGGGTTCGCTACGCGAGAGCGGAGCCGAACGCCGTCGCGTTAACACGACGCAACGACCGGTGTTGCTTATGTGCGAACGGACGTGTTGCAGGGCGAGGAGGAGCTGAATCAGAATGAGAAGAAGCGACTGCGGAAGCTGAAGGCCGTCGAGGAGAGCGACGACGAGGAGGAAGGTAGAGAAGACGTCATGGCGCAAGCCTCTCGCGGCCTTTTGAGCGCGCGACACTCACTCGGCGAACGCGCCGACGGCAGATCGCGTTTAACGCTTGCCGATTCCGTCTCGTCGCTTTGGTTTTCTTCACGCCACGTTTTACCGCACTCCATTTATGCAAAAGCGATCGTCCTCCTTATCTAGTTGTCTCCCGAGATGCTCCTCCCCTCTTTCTCCTTGTGTCTCTTGTGCCCCCCTTCCCTTCCCCTCCCCTCCTCTCCCTTCCCTTCCCTTCACCTGTGCAGTCTTATCCAGCTGTCACTGAACGCAATCCCTTGACGATCGGTTCGAAATTTTCTTTTTATTATTTGTTAACATTATTCGAAATGGGTTTTCTCGTGTCACTAAAGAAATATCTTTGACTTGTATACGCGGAGATAAAAATGAATGGGAATCAAGCTGCTGGGTGAGACAAATTGTCTAAAAGTGGAAGAATTTAATTTGCAGCTTTCCTAATTTTTATCATCCTTTCGTATCTTTCGAGTCTCCGTCATATTTGTGCGATAACGGGTACATTCAGTATGTCCGTTTACCGAACTCGTTGAGCAACGAGTTAATTAAGTAGCGACTGCGTGCAATTGATTGGATCCAAAGCGCAGGAACCGATCGACCGCGAATGTTGCTTGGAGAACAGTCGGGGGAGGAGAACGTGGATCACATTTTATTTATATGCGCACCTAGTTGGTAAAAATTGCTTACAACAGGTCGTACCTAATTTATGTTGATCTTCACGATTCAGTTTTACACCTAGAGGAAAGTCCTCTACCACGAGAGTTTTCTAATATGAGATAGCAGGTTTTCAACGCCCAGATTCAATCGCAAATCTCTTGTTTTGTTTTTCGCAACGACTACACATTCCAACGATGAATTTTCCATTCAACAGATTGCGCCGCAAGGGCAATAAATTCACGGTGGAATCAACCGACGACGCCTGTTAATTTGCACAACAATCCGCTATCCCATATTAGGACCCTGTCTCATAATAGGGGACCTCCCTGTATGCATCCGTGCGCGTGGTGTTTGCAGTATTGACGTAATATATTTTGTAGACGACGAGGATCAGTTGCGCGAGGAGCTGAAAGATTTGATAGACGACAATCCTATAGACGAGAGCGAGGGCGAGGACAGCGATGGTTCTAACCATCACAAGAAACGTAAGAAGAGCGACGACGAGGATTTTGATGATCGCTTGGAAGATGAGGATTACGATCTGATTGAAGAAAACTTGGGCGTTAAGTTTGAAAGAGTGCGTTTCCACTGAATTGTCCATTCAAATAAGGAAATAATTTGTTGCCAACGATACGATGTACTTCACCTTGTGCTGCAGAAGCGTTTCAAACGCCTTCGAAGGATCCAAGACGAGGAGTCGGAGGAGGAACAAGAGAAGGAAGCGGACGAAGAAAGGGACGCCATTGCCAATGAATTGTTCGAAGGCTCTGGAGACGTAAGTATTGCGTAAGATATATCAGAGTTAATTCTGACAAAGTAGCGAAGTACTTCGAAATTTATACTATACTTCGATTGCAATACTCGATCATGCTATCTACATTTTATTGCTATTCGTGAAATTCTTATTTCATGTACGTAAATATACTAAAAGGTACAAACGCATGTTTATACGTGTATACATGTTTGCATTTGTTAAATGCGTGCTTATATTAGGAAAGGGATATCACGGTACGTAACGCTCGTATAGTGCCTGCGATCCTAAAGTGTGATGTTCTTTATTTATTCGTTTGTATTGCTCTTAGGAGGACGAGAGACGAAGCGAGCGAAGCCACAGGCCAGAGGCGGAAACCTTCGAGGAAGGCAGTGATGAAGGAGAATATACCGATGCGGATGATTTTATTGTTGACGATGATGGTAGACCCATTGCGGAGAAAAGGAAGAAGAAGAAACCGATATTTTCCGATGCGTACGTAATCAAATGCTTTTCGGCATAAGATCGTGGAAAGAAACATGTAGCTGCCGTAGCTAAAAACGGAAGTGGCGACTGAATTTCAGTTGTAAAATAAGGACAGCTGATATTCAGCTGTGATAGCTGAATATTTTGCTACTGTGCCTATTGTACGAGATGCGACAGCAAGCAGTTTGCTGTGGTTTAGAAATTTATACTTACGGCCGCAAAATATTTTTAGCAAGCCATGTTTGGCTACGGTAGCGGAAAAAAATTTCTTTTTTTCAGTGATGAATTCACAGTCATTTGAATAAGACAGGAACTTAGATAAAAAGCAATACCTTCTTCTTATCTAGGGCACTGCAAGAGGCACAAGACATTTTCGGCGTTGATTTTGATTATGATGAATTCGGTAAATATGGCGAGGAGGATTATGAGGAAGAGGAGGAAGAAGAAGAGGATGAATATATGGACGAAGACGTCGATGCCGAACGGCCACGACGGCCGAAGAAACAGCTGAAGAAAAAGACCACGAGAAAGAGTATCTTCGAGATTTACGAGCCCAGCGAATTGAAACGTGGTCACTTTACTGATATGGACAACGAGGTACTGCGTAACAAGATAATCTTGTGCAACAAATTATTGTCACTGACATTAGCCAGACGTATTTTTAATAGTATTGTTTTCTCTTTTATTAAATTTGAATAGATTTATATTAATTTTTCTACATTAGTCTTCGAAGTCATTAGAGTAAGAAACGGTATTACGATGTAAAAAGTTTTGTGTCTTTACGTTGAAATGCGTAACATAAACATTAATAATTAGATTTGGATTGTGATATAGAAATCTTGAACGTAGATTTTCCAATTTAACACGAAGACGTGCAGGAGCACATAGGCATGTCATAGTGTGACAAAAGTTACATTTCTTAGTACTGTCCCCAAATTATTACTTACGCTATCTGGCTTCAAATTGCAGATACGTAATACAGATATACCAGAAAGAATGCAACTTCGGTCTGTACCGGTCACATCAGTTCCGGAGGGTTCCGATGAGCTGGATCTCGAGGCAGAATGGATCTACAAGCAGGCGTTTTGCAAGCCTACAGTTTCTATTCAGGATTCCCATTTGAATCCCGAGGCAAAGGAGCGGGCGCGAAAAGGACCCCAGACCATCGGCAAGATCAAGAAAGCCTTGGACTTCATACGCAATCAACACTTTGAAGTCCCCTTTATATCCTTCTACAGGAAGGAGTACGTGCTGCCCGAGCTGAATATCAACGACCTGTGGAAGGTTTACAAGTTCGACGCCAAGTGGTGTCAGTTGTGTCAGCGGAAGGAGAACCTGCTTAAGCTGTTCGAGAAAATGCGCAACTATCAACTGGACGAAGTCATGAAGAACCCGGACGCGCCACTGCCGGATAGCGTGCGAGTGATTAAAGACGACGACATTGAGCGACTGAAGAACGTGCAGACGAGCGAAGAGCTTAACGACGTCTACAATCATTTCATGCTGTATTACAGCCACGAGATCCCGAAGATGCAGGAGACCGTGCGACAAAAGGAGAAGCAGGCGCGGCGCGAGGAGAGGATCCAGCGACGCAAACAACAGATCGCCGAGGCGGAAGAAAACGGCGAGGATCCGCCGGAGGAGGAAGAGCCACTGGAGGAAGAAGAGATCGACGAAACGTTGAAGCAGGCCGTTAGAAGTGGCCCGTACACGATCTGTCGAAAGGCCGCTCTGGACGGTCTGGCGAAGAAATTCGGCCTGACACCCGAGCATTACGCCGAGAATCTGCGCGACAATTATCAGCGTCACGAGGTGGATCAGGAGCCGACCGAGCCGACGACGATCGCGCTCGAGTACTGCAGTTCGCGATTCAAGGCCGCTGAGGAAGTGCTGAAGGCTGCTCAGCTGATGGTGGCGATTCAGTTGGCGCGCGAGCCGCTCGTGCGTAAATGCGTGCGCGAGATGTACATGGAGCGCGCCAAGGTATCCATAAATCCAACCAAGAGGGGCATCAAAGAGATCGACGAGAACCATCCGATCTACACGATGAAGTATCTCAAGGACAAGCCGGTGCGCGATCTCGTGGGCGTGCATTTTTTGAATATGATAATCGCCGAGGAGGACAAGCTCATCACGATTACGTTCAGCGACACCATCGAAGGCAACACCAGCAGCAACTACGTCGACGAGATGAAGCAACTCTATTGCCGGGACGAGTTCAGCAAACTCGTGCAGGACTGGAACGCCTTGCGCGTAGGCAGCGTCGAGATCGCGCTCAACCGTATGGTGATACCGCATCTGAAGAAGGAACTGCGCACGAATCTGGTCGCCGAGGCGAAGGAGTGCGTGATGCGCTCGTGCTGTCGCAAGATGTACAACTGGATCAAGGTCGCGCCGTACAGCTGTGAGTTTCCCGAGGAAGAGGACGAGGAGTGGGACACTAGTAAAGGCCTGCGCGTCATGGGCCTGGCCTTTGTGCCCGATTACTCCCAAGCAGCTTTCACTTGTCTGGTCGCGCCCGACGGCGAGTGTACGGATTACCTGCGCCTGCCGCACTTGATGAAGCGCAAGAACAGTCACCGCGAGGACGAGAAGACGATGAAGGAGGCCGATCTGCTGGCGCTGAAAAACTTCATAGCTACGAAGAAGCCGCACGTAGTCGTGGTGGCCGGCGAGTCCCGGGAGGCAACGATGATGGCTGCCGACATTAAGGAGTGCATCACTAATCTGGCGATGGAGGAGCAGTTTCCCAATATCCAGGTGGAGATATGCGAAAACGAGCTCGCCAAGATCTACTCCAACAGTAACAAGGGTGTCTCGGAGTTCCGGGATTACCCGGAGCTGCTGCGCCAGGCTATCTCGCTCGCGAGAAGGATGCAGGATCCGCTGGTGGAGTTCTCGCAATTGTGCACCGCCGACGAGGAGATTCTCTGCCTCAAGTATCACAACTTGCAAGATCAGCTACCCAAGGAGGAGCTGCTGGAGAATCTGTATTTGGAGTTCGTCAATCGCGTAAACGAAGTTGGCGTGGACGTCAATAAGGCAGTCCAGCAGGCGTACTGCGGCAACCTTGTGCAATTTGTTTGCGGTCTCGGGCCGCGAAAGGGTCAGGCGCTCATCAAGATGCTGAAGCAGACAAATCAGCGATTGGAAAACAGGACGCAGTTAGTCACCGCGTGTCACATGGGGCCGAAGGTGTTCATTAATTGCGCTGGCTTCATCAAGATCGACACCAACAGCCTGGGCGACAGTACCGAGGCGTATGTGGAGGTGCTGGACGGTTCGCGCGTACATCCCGAGACCTACGAGTGGGCCAGGAAGATGGCGGTCGACGCTCTGGAGTACGACGATGAGGACGCCAATCCCGCCGGTGCTCTGGAGGAGATACTCGAGTCGCCCGAGCGCCTCAAGGACCTGGATCTCGACGCTTTCGCCGAGGAACTCGAGCGGCAGGGCTTCGGCAACAAATGCGTCACTCTCTACGACATCAGGGCCGAGCTGAACAGCCGCTACAAGGACCTACGTGTGGCGTATCAGTCGCCGAGCCCGGAGAAACTGTTCGACGTTCTCACCAAGGAGACACCCGAGACCTTCTACGTCGGCAAGCTGGTGCTGGCTACCGTGGTCGGAATCAGTCACCGAAAGCCGCAGGGCGACCAGCTTGATCAGGCGAATCCGGTGCGAAACGAAGAGACCGGTCTGTGGCAGTGCCCGTTCTGCCTGAAGAACGATTTCCCCGAGCTGTCGGAGGTGTGGAATCACTTCGACGCCGGCGCCTGCCCGGGCAAGGCCACCGGCGTGAGATTGCGACTGGACAACGGCATCTCTGGATACATTCACATAAAAAATCTGTCGGATCGGCACGTCGCAAATCCTTGCGAGAGAGTCGGTATGGGGCAGATCATTCACTGCCGAATTATTAAAATCGAGGTAGATCGATTCAGCGTCGAATGTACCAGCAAGAGCAGCGATCTCGCTGACAAGAATCATGAGTGGAGGTGGGTAGTCAAATAACTTTTACGCAGCTCTGTCTTTTTTTTTTACAATTCTGTAAATAAGAAAGTCCGCAAACAAAGTAAGAAGAAATGTCTAATCTGTGCGAGTTATTATATACGTCGTGATTGTATTTGCAGGCCGCAGCGAGATCCATTTTATGACACCGACACCGAGCAAAGGGACGTAAAGGTAGAAGAGGACGCGAAGAAGGCAAAGCAGCGGCAAATCTACGTGAAACGCGTCATCGTCCATCCGTCCTTCCACAATATCAGTTTCGCCGAGACGGTAAAGCTGATGCAGACGATGAAGCAGGGCGAGGCGATAGTGAGACCGAGCAGCAAAGGTGCCGACCACTTGACAGTCACGTGGAAAGTCACCGACGACATTCTGCAGCACATCGACGTTCGCGAGGAGGGCAAGGAGAACGCTTTTTCATTGGGACAGAGCCTGTGGATCGGCAACGAGGAATTCGAGGATTTGGACGAGATTATCGCTCGGCACGTAAATCCCATGGCGGCTTACGCCTCCGAATTATTGGACTTCAAGTACTACAAGCACGGTGTTGAGGGAATCAAAGACAAAGCGGAGGAGATACTGAAAGAACAGAAGAAGGAAAACCCTAGCGGAATTCCCTACATCATGTCGGCAGCTAAAGTAAGCGGACCGAGCGTAGCTAAGTTTTAACTAGCGATTTCTCGAAAATCTTCTTAATTTAAAAATATAATCTCGTTAATTTCTCCTTCGTAGACCTTTCCCGGAAAGTTCCTACTCTCGTATCTGCCGCGTACTCGCTGCCGCCACGAGTTCATCACAGTGACATCCGAGGGCTTTAGATTTCGCGCGCAGATGTTCGGTAGGGTGAGCGATCTGTTGCGCTGGTTCAAGGAACACTTCAGGGATCCCGTTCCTGGCCAATCCACTCCGAGTACACCGCGCGGCGCGATGACTTCTAGGACACCTTACACTACTACGCCGGGAACAGTCAGCGGTAAGTCTGTCTACACCGCCACTGCGAGTCATCGTCAGTCACCGGGATTCTTATGTGAGAGTAACTTTTCTGGAATCATAGTATGGGTCACAAAATATATATCTATTACATACAGGGCTTTGTTCTACGACGGTGTTAACAATCGGTTAGCGAAATGGGCGACCTGTCAGACTTCGAAAGAGGCCAGATCGTGGGTGCTCGGTTAGCTGTCTAATGCCCGTTTCTACCAGTGCAGATTAACTTTAGTCCCGGCTTAAATTACTTTTTATCTCTTTCTAATTTTTAAAACTAGAAAAAGATGTAATGTGAGTTGAACCGAGATCCAAGTTAATCCGCACTGGTAGAAAGGGACATTAAAAGCAAACGGCGGCCCTACACCTTATTAATTAACAAATATTGTGCGTTAGTCAGGTGTTCACATTTTAGAATGACTTTATACGCGGCGTTAATATGAGCACACGGACTAAGTATGTTAATCGCTCTTATCTCGATCGATATTGTTTCAGGTATGAATCAAGAAGCAATACAGCGCGTTGCACAGAACCTTCCGCATCACATGTTGCACTCGCTGTCGCAAGTGGCGAATCAGACGCCGCATCACTATCCGCCGCACACCCCCGGGGCGGCCAGTGCTACCGGCGGATACGGCGGAGTGCACACGTATCCGAACACGCCGTATACGCCGTCCGGCCAGACTCCATTTATGACCCCGTATCAGACGCCCCATCACACCCCGCATCACGGCCAGCCCACTCCCAGATACGGCCAGCAAACCCCCAGCCACCATCAAGGGCCCTTCGTGCATCCACCGCCGCCCTCGATGACACCCGGCCATCACAGGTCCGCTCAGTCGCACAGACCTACACCACCACCCCTGTCCACTCCTTCCGGCGATCCGACGGATTGGAAGAAGGCCGCCGAGGCGTGGGCACGTTTGAAAAGCGGCCCCCGAGTCTCGTAAGTGCAATAATAATAGCAAATAAATATGTAAAGTCCCCTATTGTGAGATGGCGTTTCTGCTAAATTAATAGGCGTCGTCTGTTGGTTCCACCATGAATTTATTTGCCCTTGGAGCGAAATCTGTTTAGTGGAAATTGGTCGTTGGATCGTGTGACCGTTGCGAAAAAAAAAGATTGCGATTGAATTTGGACGCTGAAAACCTACCTACTCGTCTCATATTAGACTCCTGTATCATACTAGGACTTTCCTCCATTAAATAAGGGTCACGTTTTTCAAGTAAAAATTATTGATATATTTGAGACGCGACGTTCGATTATCAACAACGGTTAAATGTACTTTCCAGCGGATCGACGCCCAGGTACGAGGAGTCCAGGAAAACTCCGCGTAACTATGACGAGCCGGCTGGCAGAACGACACCCTCCGGCAGAAGCAGACCGTCGTCCGCGCGTACTCCGTCGTACAAATCTCCGCGGGGCACTCCGCATACGAATTCTAGTCCACGGAGTATGTCCCTCAGTGGAGATGGTACTCCTCTGTACGACGAAAGCTAACGGGATTGTGCATAGCTGATTGTATTTATTAGTCACGTCATATCATGCTATGTGTATGAATACTGAGAGCGCGCGTGCCCTCGGCGACGGGCGTCCGATATCCGGAGACGTCGTCTATTGCTAGCGAATTGAATCGATCGTGGATTGTTACGGACATGGCGACACGCGTAGTGAATTCTTCCACTTTCTTGCACGCAAGATTTCGTTTGCGATCACCTGAGAGAGAGAGATCGTTGATTGGCCACGGCGTAAAACTACGGTGTTGTATTTATTTATTTGAAGTATCTTCGCAGTTTCTTCCTGTGTACATAATAAAATTTATGGAAACGTTACGGAGGCCTGAACACTAACACGTTTTGCAACTTTCTTGCAATATTCATTTTCCTGTACACTTGATGGCATCAATAAAAAGGAATTCATAAAAACTGAAATTTATTGGGATTATTCGTACTACAATAATAATTGTACTAATTTTCGAAAGCATTTAATTTGTCAATTACAATAGAAAGATTAAATACAAGACTAGAGTCACCCCAAAATCACAATACTTTTCATGTTATTAGAATATAACTGAGAAAACGATTATATATAACTGAATTATTGCTCAAAGATATATCTTACATTTTTCATTGGTGCCGTTATACATGCAGCATAGACAAGTGATGGTACAATTTCTTTTTAATATGAATATGCTATACGTTGTTTACAGACTTCTATACACAAATACCTGGACTGCTATCTCTGGAAAATGAAAAAAAAAGTCAAATGATTTCAGAAAAGGTAGCTGTTTTGAAGGGATTTAAAATCATCGTTGATGATTTCTTACGCCAATTAATGCTACTTCATAAATGTTACGTGTCGAAAGCGCGAGGAGAGAGGGTCAGCGACACGGGAACCAAAAATGGAGAGATGAAGCGTAGTTGATGGACTCCCACAATTTTTAATACTAACGTGGTACAATACTAACTACTGATGGATAACGTATCTGTTCTTTTAGAAGTCCTAGAAGAAGTACTAGAGAAGAAAAGAACGGAACATTGCGACTAAGGCCCGGTTTCACCAACGTTGTGTAACTTTGAGCTTGGCTTAATTCGTTCTTTGCCTCTCTCCAACTGTTACTTCAGAAAAAGACAAACGTGAATTAAACTAAAATTACAGTTAAGCGACGTTTGGTGAAACCGGACCTTAAAGGCTGGTTTAAGCAAAGCCGTAACTGTTAACTTGTGCCGGAATCGGTACCCAGTGAGAAACGATGTCGATTTGACGTCGATCGACGAGTCATTTCTCGCTGGGTAAAAATTAACCGATTACAGTCAACTATTTTCTTCACTTTTAACGGCAATTGAACAATTTTTACCGATTCCGGTATAACTTGACACTTGCATAAACCAGCTTTAAGAAACGATTCAGAACGCAGGAAGCGAAGACGCGAGCGAAGCTCGAGCTTGTAGCGCGAACGAAAGACCGGAAAAGCTCGTTGGGCACCCGCGACGGGAGCTTTTATCATTGTTATAAACGTCAATAGGCGTTTGTAAATTAAACTTTGCCTAGATTGACCTCGAAATGTTGGCTTTCGCGGGGTTTCGAGCGCTCTTGCGCACTGACATGCGCGGAACGCCAATCATCGCAAGTGATTAGCGATCCACGGATAAGACGATAAGACGCGCATGCCCATAGCGCCGATCCGTAGTAGTGACGAACGTTCAATGTCGCTTGTAATTGTTTAGAACATGAGTTTTTCTCTCGGAAAAGGGAAGAATCGTTCCTTATTGTTCACAGACGAACTCCGAATAACGGAATCTTCGAGGCGAATACGCCGAGAGAAAACTCGTGTCAATGTAATTACTGTGATTGTTGTTAAGAGATTTTAAATGCACTACTACTATCACGGCTAGAGACGCGTCCCCGCCTCTGTGAAGAGGCCCGCGGTACACCGTCTCAATTGAACACTACACGTACATGAATTTATGCAATAACTGAAAAAACGTGTCTCGGACCGATTCATAACTGTAGCACATTAGCGATCTAGGTATTCTATAGAAATCTGTACGTTATCAAATATTTCGTATGTAGAAAATATCTGCAGAATACTCAACTCGTTCAAGATACTGTCTGATTTACTCGAAATCGCTAAATAGTTTACGTAAATTAATGTTTCACTTAAGAATAAATTTTCTTGTATAAAAACAGAAATGAAACTGATTATCTTTTGTATTTTTATCGATTACGATTTTTATTTAAGTATATATATATGCACCAATGAATAATGTTTCCAGTATAACTTTACTTCGAACAAATGTATTTCATATATGCAATTTATACACTTGTTAAAGGATAACATTAAACATGAAAGCAATATATTTGAGAAGCGTTGTATGTCTATAATACCTTAGCTTTCGATTTTCCCCTCGTTTTACAAATATTAGTCCCAGCTCAAGAAAATGTTTCCAATATTATTTTTCATATTTTGTCAAAAAGTAATGGCACTTTTTTACTATGTTGTAATAAAATAAAAATTCATTTCTACAATACCGTAGCTTTTGATTTTCCCCTCGTTTTACAAATATTAGTCCCAGCCCCAAAAAACGTTTCCAATGGTATTTTTCATATTTTATCAAAAAGTAATGGCACTTTCGTATTATGTCGTACCAAAATTAATATTGTAGACCTCGTGATTTTGGTAGATGCAAAAGTTATCAAGTAAAGAGAACGTTATATAGTCTAGAGTCTAGACGAATAAAATATCATTTAACTTTTTTCGGCATATAATAGGCAACAGACATAGAACAACGTTTTCACCTAAATAGCGCTGATAGTAAACTCCTCGAATGCATCCTTAATATCTAAAGAGAAGTATAAATAAAACATACATATAATAAGAAATATATAGCAAACTATTTTTTTTAACTTACGTACTTGTCAAAAGTCTATCGATGTATGTCTATAATAATTATAGACATGCATCGAATGTATGTCTATAATAA